CCATTTCACCACACCTTGGTTAGTTAGCACTGGGCATTGTTATTCTTTTTATTCCTTGCTAATCTTACAGAAAATGGTGATTTTGTTATAATTTATGTTTCTTTGACTGCTAGTGACTTGAGCAGTGCTTCCAGTGTCCTAGGTCACTTGCTGCCTTTTCTCTTCTTTGTAAATTGCATGTCCTTTTCTCTCATGGGATATTGATGTTATTTACCTGTGAACCCCTTTCAGTTATTAATGTTTTGCATATTACTAATTTTTTCTGAGTTTCAAGCTTATATTTTACATTTCTCATAGGTGTTAGTAATTTTTTTTTTTTTAAAGCCAGTGGCCTGCTATTGATAAGAACAGATATTTCATTTTCATTTTAAAAGATTGGCCTGGCTGTTAAAGATAAAGCCAAGGGGACATCTGGCCCTTGTGGTACTTGTGCTTGGGACCTCCTTCTAGGGCAGGAGACGTTGATGACCCCCATTGTCACCTTGAAGGTCTGTGGCTGTTAGGCCTTGACAGAGATGGTGAACAAATCAGATTTCTTTCTGGGACGTGCAGGAGGAATTCTTTCAATGAGCATGTCACAGGAGCCGGTGGTGTCTAACAGAGTGGGTGGTGGTGACCCACCCAGGAAGTACAGAGCATTCCCAGAACCAGTTGTGATGGAGGCCTTGTGTTCACCCAAGCCAAGCCCCTCATCCCTATGTCTCTCCCATAGCCTGGCTCCTGGGTGGTTTGGGAGTCAGATGTGATCAAGCAGAATGGGTGAATGGGTGTAGGTGGGCATGGGGGAGGTATGGGTGAACTTGAAGGGAGGATAGTGGATGCAGCAGGTAAGTTCTTTAAATGCTGGTCAGTGAATTGCACTTGATTTTCTGTTTTAAAGAGCTTTGTTCCAGAAGCAAAACTGGCTACCCAAAAACTGTGGGTGGGCTGAAAAAGGCAGACTTGGTGAATGTTGCTAAGAAGCAGCTACATAGAAACTACTGATGAGACAGAGAGCTTTGGTAATAGAATGCAGAAATCTGAGGAGGGCATTTCACTTCTGTGATGTCACAGTGGTTTGGACCAGTCTGGGACATATAATAGGACATGGTTTTGTGGTTTTAAAGCCTTTATTTCTTTTTGAAATTGAGCCTGCTTTGCATTTTGAGTTTGTCTTGTATTCAGCCCAGTATGGTAAGTTAGGCAAAAAATATTCTTTTGCACTTTATTGAAGTATTTCCTGCTATCATCACTCCTTTAGGACCAGTTCAGAGTTTTCCAGGCTCCTCCATTTGAACAGTTGTTCTCACAATTCAGTGTAGCTTGAGTCAACAAATACCTGTTTAGTGCTCACTGTGTGCCAGAGATTGCTAGGTATGGGGCAGGCAGATATGAAAGGATGGACAAGTTGCAGAGATGACAATGGCTGGCGGGGGTGGGGGGCGGGTGGGCAGGGAAGGCTTCTGGGAAGACCTAATCTCTTAGCTAGGGTTTGAAGGGTGACTCGGTGTTCCCTGTGTACTTTCAGTGGGCCACAGGGCTTATCTTGTGCCGAGGTGGACATAGAGCATTGGTGGAACTTGGTATTGGTGGAATATAAAGTATGTTTGTATTGGGGAAGAAGAAGAGGGTGAAGGAGGCAGAGACCTGGTCATGGAAAGTCTCAGGTGTCCTCTCTGACTGTATGGTGGGATACAGAACTTTCTGTGTGAGGAAGTGGCAGACACAGGGTCGCCCTTGAGGCAGAGATCTACCCCTGTGCTTGTTAGTTCCATAATCCTAGACAGGAGGCCTCATCCTGATAATGGGTTGTTATAAACGTAACTGAATGACATAAAATATGATGCTTGGCACTTGGTAGGAGGTCAACACATGCTCTTATTTCTTCTCCTTGGCTCCTTCTCCATACTTCAGTATAACATCTTTGAGGGCAGGCCTCAGAGGATTTTTGCCTTGGTTTTCAGGATGAGAGAGAGTCCCATGTTAGGTAGTTTAGATGCTGAAATAATGGTAAGTCTCAGGACATTGTTATGGCTTATGGGAAATTTACCTTTTTTTTTTTAATGGCCAATTCTTATTCTTTCCTCTAATTACATTGCTTTGAATTGATAGGAGAATTAGCAGGATGTTCTCTTGCCACTTTGGGCAATTGCAGTCATGTTTGAAGGTCTCATTCTAGTTTTCTAAATAGCAGACACACATCCAGTTACCTAGAAACCTGTTGACAGTCAGTTGTTCTCCATTTCCTAGCACTTTGGTGTATTTCTGAAAAGGGGGCGCCAAAGGCCTCCTTTCCTAAAAAAGTGGGAGCAGGAGCTAATTTGCAAGTGATTTAGAAATTGTTTTTAATGTTGAATTTCTCTTTTCCACTTTATTTTGGGACCCACTTTTATTTGACTTCAGGGGAAGCAGAATCAGGCAGGTTAGGAAGTTCCTGCTACCTAGAAAATTTCTCAGCTTTGTGTGTGTGTGTTTTGGAAGGTGTGGGGTAAAAAAAGGAGAAACCAAAAATGCAAGAGCTCCCGTGCCTTTCGGTGTCCTACCCCTTGCAGTGCTTTAAAACCCCCCGCCAGTTTCTGATCATGTGGAGTGGGTCCCCACTGGGTAGACCCTCTGTGTTCCTGAGTCTGTGGATCGAGTGTGTAATTTCCACTTAAAGAAAACCTGTCGGCAGTGTTGTTTCTAAGTAGGAAAGAAAGGTATTGATAAAGGAAGAATTAGTATATTGAGGGAAGTATTTTCATTTCTTAAAATATTGGATGAAGCTGGGTAGAAGGAAATATATTGTATGTACATAGGGAAAATGAATGAGACTGATTTATTTATTAATGAACCTGCCCAAGAAAGGGTGGCCCAGGAGAAAAAACAAAGCTAGTAGTTTTTAAGGAAAAATGCTTTAAGGTCAGCTTAGATTTCCCTTTCAGCAGTAACATTTTTTGTATTATTCCACAGAATTGTTAGCTCTTATGTAAATGTACCCTCCCCTGTCCTTTTTAATGTTTATTTCGGACCTCTGGTTTTTTACCCTTGGGCAGAGATATTCTTGGACCAGGTTGGAAAAGGCATACCTGCTGTTGGGCTCTCTGCAGGAATGTCTTGTATTTAGAAGGTGGTTTTTTTTTTTTTTTTTCCCTGAGTTTTCTCATTTGCAATTTTCTTGTGTCTTCATGACAGCTGTCCTTTGTTTTCCACACAAAATCAGCTCATTTTTATTATTAAACCACAACTGGTTCCTGCCTGTGCCTTAAAACAGAAACTTTGGTTACTTTCTCTCTCTTGACCTTTGAATCTCAGAGTAAACGAGTGACTTCCAAAAACGTAGGTGGGAATTTGGTCCTTTCTCCAGATTTTCCAGGATGTTTACTTTGCATGACTTTGAGATTCAGAGGTTTGGTTTTGGTGACTTTTACACATAGGCTAGTTTTATCTGAGTGCATCGTTTATAAGCTGTTTGATTTCTATCTCCTTTCCAAGGGGTTTTCTTTTTAAAATCTCTCTTTAGATTCTCATGTTAATTTTTTTTCTTAAAGAAGGGTGGAAAAAAAGTGTGAAAGGGGAAATGGGAAAGCCTTTTGCTCCCAAAGCCTAAATGAATAGTCATTGCTTGTAATGCTGGTCTACGCTTGACGCTTCCTACTGCTTTAGCTGTGATGTATCCGGTACTGTGAAGGTAATGATCCTCAACCGCAGCAATATTCCATAACAGGAATATCTGTCATATTCATTGGGATTACCATGTTCATTGATTTGTGTCTGTAAATCTGCTGTTTCTACCCTTTAAATTTGATCTATAATTGGACCTCCTTAAATGGTTCAGATAAGGTAGTCTGTATTTTCTCAGTGCAGCATTGCTGTCAGCTTCCCCTTTTTCATTATACATTCAGCAGACTTGAGAAAATCAGCAGGACACCTCATTTGAAACTGTTTAATCGCTGCCTTTTTCCTTTGCTAAACCATTGAGGTGGTCAAGCGATGTACACAAATCATTTTAAATAGAAAATATGGTTTTCTCTGTGACCCAGCTAAATAGATAGTGTTATGCAAAACAAGTTAAAAAGTAATAAATGCCAAAAAATCTTATAATTGGAGTAAAAAATGGTGGGCAACTCTATCCTTTCTCCAAAACTAGCATATTCTGAAATATTGCCAGGGCCCAGTAAAGACAAGATGATGGTTTTCTAAAGATTCTCTGGTTTCTGAACAAAGCAGGTTTACATTTTCAAATAGTGCCGAGCTGCCTTTTACATGCATTCCGAGCTAGCCCACACTTATTTGTAATGCCTTTACACCCTACTTTTGTAAGGATAAATTTGCTATCTGTTAATATCTATGCAGCATAACCTTTCAGCCATTTGCTATTGTGATAATAAATTTTTGTTTCTTTGTCTGTCATATTGTCTACTCAGCTGTTACTCTTCAAAGTACAAACTAAAAATAATAGCTCCAAATAAACGCCATATAATAAAGTGTTTTACAGTTGGAGCTGGAATAACCTGGTGGCTGCAGCTCGCGGTCCTATTACCATTGCTGGTGTGGTAGTTTCTTCCCTGTGTGTCAAGGTGACTGTACCAGGACCGGCTCATTAAAACAGTCTATTCTTTCCAACTGGCTTGGTATTTAGCTCTCTACCCAGCAGCCTGCCAAGGTGCAATTATGGAGCACAGGGCCCACGGCACAGGAGATGAGAAATTATGTGGCATTCCTTTTTTGAAAAAATAACAAATTCTCTATAACCTCATTTTCATGCTTCAGCATTTTGCTGTGAATAATTTACAATTACTCCTGTCTGTGGTAGAAGAAGGGCCAGTTGCTGTTTTTTCCCAAGATAGTGGTAAGTGTGACTCCAGGCTTTTGAAGAACACTGTTTACCTGGTTCAGTATGGCCCTGCAGGATTAATATTTACATTGTATTTGAATGTGACACCAGGAGTGTTTTGCCTTTTTTGTTGCCCAGAGGTAAATTTGAGATGGAGAAGTTGGGAGCTGGTAAGATATACTAAAAGTGCATCTTTTTCTTATAGGTTCTGGTTCCTTGGCAGCAATGGCTGTGTTTGAAGATAAGTTTAGGCCGGATATGGAGGTATGTAAAGTCCCTGCAGTTTTATTGTCTCTCACGTGTTTTCCCAGCTGTGTATCAAACATTTACAGGTTGATTGCTGATTCCTCCAAAGCTGATACAGCACTGTTAGTTGGAATGCTCTTTGGTGCAGATACTACATTATGTTTGCTGAGGAGATCGGTTGCTCAGGGAAGCGTCATTTTGCAGTGGTCCTGCCGTGGCCTCCATCAGGCTGGAGGAGCTTTTGCTGAACAGTGTCTAGGAATCTTCTTGGCTATAAATGCTGCCGCAGTGTAGACTGTTTTCTTGTGCACTAAGCTTTCTGTATCAAGATACCTCAAAATGACAGGTTTTTCTGTTCTCTCACTAAGAACATAGAAACTCTCTGTGTCTTTGTATGTCACGCAGACCTGACCTGAAAACAGGAGCCGTTTTAAGAATCCCTTTACAGATAGGCGTTGCTTAACATCTATGATACGTTCTGTGAAATAGAATGTTATGTGATTTGGATATTGTGCGAACACTGAATTAAAACCTTATAGGAGCTTGCTTCCGGTCATCCTCACTGCCACTGCCGCTGCGGCTCTAGCTGAGAGGGCGGCAGCGGGAGCAGAGCAGGAGGAAGTGGGGCATTCCCAGCTCTGCCTGGTGTTCCGCTCACCTGCCCGCCAGACAAAACCTGGAAAACCCGCGCCCTGAACTGTGTCCTCTGCCTCACTGGCGTGTGTCCCACCTGTGGTCCAGTGCTGCAAGAGTCTGGGTTTGGGGTCTTTAAGACCATTAGAGGGAAATAATAAACAAAAGGAAAGCTGTTTCTCTTTTTTAAAAACAAAACAAAACACAGGCTTATGGGACCATGGACATATGAAGTCAGAGTTGGACGTCTGAATGGGCATTAAGCAACGTTAAGAACAATGTAGATTGTTTTGCATTTGGCAGAAATGGGGACAAGATCCTGTGTGTGGTGGACTCTTCTCTCTATGATGGATCTAGTGTCTTAAACATATTTCTAAGAGATTCTTTTTTCTTCTAAGATATAGGTGGTCCCCAACTTGGGATGGAATTCCATTCCAACGACTCTGTCATAAGTTATTTCTGATGTTAAATCAAATAATTTTTTTTTTAAGTTTTCATAGTGCGCTATATGGCACCGTTTTGAACAGTCAGTAAATCATAACACTGAACATCTGTGAGCAACATCTGAGAATGATAACATCAGCAAATTATGTACTGCAACATCGTATATAGTACATATTACTAATGATGAGGTGTACCCCCTAAAATAAAAATACTTGGTTTGTTATAATTTGAATAGTCATAAGTCTGGGACTACCTGTATTATTTTCTTTGGTGGTAGGGAAGGTGGTATCTTCTGAAAGAGATTCCACCTAAAAACCCCCCCCTGCCTTCAAGTCGATTCCAACTCAGAGTGCCCCATAGGACAGTAGGGTTTCCAAGGCTGTAACTCTTTACATAAGCAGACTGTTTCATCTTTCTCCCACAGAACAGCTGATGGGTTTGAACCACTGACCTTTTGGTTGGCAGCCTAATGTTTTAACCACTGTACCACCAGAGCTCCTTTATTCTACCTAAGTTGTCTTTAATTGTAGATGTGCCTCTTTCATTAAGTAACCCTTCCACAAACTTGAGAGCAAATTACAAGTCTTCCATTCTCACCTTTAAAGGAATGTTCAATATATTTGGATACTTCTTGGTACCAATTTATTCCTCCACTGTGTTTCATCCTTGCTACTTTAAGAATGTAGATACATCAGTCCTGAAGGCAGCCTTCCTCAGCTCTTAGTTTTTTGATGGATGTTAATTTTGTTGTCAGAAGGAACCATTCCCTAGAGAAGGATATCATGCTTGGTAAAGTGGGGGGGGGGGGGCAGCGAAAAAGGGGAAGGCCTCAACGAGATGGATTGACACAGTGGCTACAACGATGTGCTCAGGTATAGCAAGGATCGTGAGGCTGGCATGGGACTGGGCAGTGTTTTGTTCTGCTGTGCATAGGGTCTTTATGAATCAGAGACAACTTGACGGCACCTAACGACAACAACAGTTTTTTGATAGGGTGTATCAACTTCTTTTCAACATTAGCAGGCAGTTTATGGAATGGTTTACTCTGTTTTTTGAATATGTAGGTTTCTGCTGTTTCTGGCTTTGCAGTATTGTTTTGTTTAGGCACCAAACGATGTCTCTGGGAATTACTTCGGCAGTGTTATGCCTGATCATCTTTGATCACATATTTAACCATTTTTGGTTTTCTACCCTTTCATTGTCGTTGGAGCCGCAGGTATCATTGAAGCTCTGAAGTGCTCTCTGCCCTTCAGCTTTAGCCAGGAGCTGTGAGAGCCCTAGACCGTAGGGCGGTGGTTGCTACTCGGCCAGAACAGTCTCCTGCTGGAGATCACTGTGTCCTGGGAACATGAGGCTAGTACACGTCAGCGATTGGGTCACTGATGGCTGGATTTCCTTACCTTTCTTGGACATTTACAGAAATTAAAACATGTGGCTATAGATAGGATTTAGCTAGCTATTTCACACTAAAAACAATAGTGTCTTGCTCCAATTAAGTATCAACTATAAATGAGATAGGCTTTTATTCTCATTTCTCACTGTGAAAATTTATTCCCATATCAGCATTATTTTCTATTTGGGGATCTTAAATACCCGGGGGGGGGGGAGAGACATACTAGGCCACTTAAAAAAAAAGGAAAAGTAAAAAAAAAAAAAAAAAGTCTTCAACTCTTCTGCCTAGAGGAGAGGTGTTTCCTAAGGTCCTGCAGATCCATTTGAACTGACAGAGATACAGGGAGAAGGACTCTTGATTTTCATTTAGAAAACCGCCCAGTAATGTCAAGCCATTCTTTAAGCCACATTAATCTTTTCACATTTTCTCGAAAGCTTTGTCTAGTTCCAATTGATTGGGACCTCCATATTTTAAAGAGAAATGGGAATTGGGTGGTAGGAAGTATAACAAGTGACTTAACACTCAGCTGAAGTAATGTTATATTAGTAAAGAGTTTGAATTTGAGATGATTTAAAGGCCATGAATTAAATATTGATAGCATTTTTGGAAAGTAAAGGGAAATGTGAATAAAACTCTTCTGATGTTACCAATTTGAAGAGTGTACTCCTTAGATCAGTTTTATCTGTAACTCAGAGTACTTAATGTTCTGCATTAGTTGGGAGGTCTTAAAGCAAGTTGACCAAGTTCCCATTTCAGGTTGATGATCTTCATTTACAATTAAGCTGACTTTTTATTCCCTTAAGTTTCTGAAACTTGATACAGAGTAATAATCAAATGGTACCTCTTCGAGGTACAAATGGTTAACTGTGCTTGACTGCTAACCAAAGGTTGATGGTTCAATGGTTTGAGTCCACTCTGAGGGGCCTTGGAAGAAAGGCTTAGCAATCCGCTTCTGAAAAATGAGCCTTAAAAACCCTGTGGAGTACAATTCTAATCACATGTGATGGTTGTAAGTTCAAGTGGACTGATAGCAACTGGCAACAATTGTCAGCAATTAAAGTCACTTTATTAAGGTTAAGGTAGTAACTGCCTTTCCTGTGGTTAATTGAGTTTAAAAGTAAACAGAAGGCAAATAGTAGTATAACAGCTGTCAGTAGGTAATACTTTAGAAATCTGAAAAGACATTAATAGATATAAAAAAAATTTATCATGAAGACCAAGCACGTAACTAACTGCTGGCCACAATACTTGATTGGGTGCTCATGACATGATACGATGTCAGTTGAAGGCTGAGTCTGCCTAGGAGAATTGAGGGGAAACTGAGTCAATGAACTTTTTTTTAATAAAAGAGCATTTGGCCAGTGTCCTCTCTGGCTCTGCATTTTTTGCATAGAACATGTGGAAACAAAGGCACATTAGTTTCAATTTTCCGAACTTTATTTTCCGTCTTTCCAGGAAGGCTTTTTGCCTTCCTGTGTGTGGCAGGAAGCCCTCCATAACTACTTCTTCTTGCCTGTTTTGAGTTACCTGTTTGGTGACTATTTGCTTATGTCATTTATGGGAACAGATTCTGGGCATGGCTGAAACAGAAACCCAAGAGAGCAGCGTTACTGCCTCTCACATCTTGTATGGATTGCTGGAACACTAACAACTGCACACTTCACAGAATTGCATTAGGGGGAGGTGGCTAAAGCCTGTCACAATTATGAATTGTTTGCCAAACAGAATTTTTAGGCCAGGCTCATGAAACAAACTCTTGGCTTTATTGTTAAAACAGAAAATTAGAGGAAGCTCTGAGTCTTTTTTTCTTTTAAAGTATAAACCTGTGTGTTGGACAGAGCCTCCCACTTTGTCCAGAATTTCCTATTGTGATCCTGATCAGAGAGGTCAGTAGTAGTAGCTAGGTAGCCAGGCACCATCTAGTTCTGGTCTCAGGCTAGTGGAGGCCATGGTTCATATTAGTCTTTTGGGCTCATTGTTTCTTTGAATCTGATTTTTTTCATTCTCCTTTGCTTTGCATGCAAGAGACCAGTAGTTGTATGGTCTTTAGATGGGTGGTTGCACTTTTTTTTTTTTTTTTTTTTGCCTTGAGAGAAAAATAAACACTCATCTTGTTTAAGCCACTGCTATTTTTGGCCTCTTTGTTACATCAGGAGCTGTGGTGGTGCGGTGGTTAGGGCATTCGGCTGTTAACCAGAAGGTAAGCGGTTTGAACCCACCAGCCGCTCTGTAGGAAGAAGATGAGGCAGTGTGCTTCCTTAAACATTTGTAGCCTTGGAAATCCTATAGGATAGTTCTGCTTTGTCCTATAGGGTCACTATATGTTGGAATTGACTAGATAGCACTTAGTTTGGTTTTGATTTTATTAGAACAGCAGGACATTATATTAACTGATGGCACAGTGCCTAAGGCATCTGACTGCTAACCAGAAGGTTGGCGGTTCAGACCCACCAACCACTCCACGGAAGGAAGACTGGGCAATTTACTTCCATTGCCTCAGAAACCCATTGGTGGTCGCTGTGAGTTAGAATTGACTTGATGGCAGTGG